TCTTTGGGGCATTTCCAGGATCACCTGGGAATATCGAATCAGTGATGCTAAAGTACGTCGAATGGCTTTCGGAAGAAATAGGGGCATTTCTCACCTGGGAATATCGAATCAGTGATGCTAAAGTACGTCGAATGGCTTTCGGAAGAAATAATTCACCTGCAACGAATAAAATAAACACACTCTATGGATTGCGCCAGCTTGGTCACATGATCTGTATGTCAATCGACCGACTTTCTCGAAGAGCGGAAACGACCCAGAGGAGGCTAAGCAATGAGTTAGCAGTGAAGTAGAAAGGCCATTCCCAACAAACTCAGCTGCGCTGGTCATTAGTGTCTCCCAGGTTGGGGACCTATAGACGGGACAGTTACTGGTTGAAGAAATTATCAGATATCGCCAATTCGCGCGCTCAGTGACGCACATATATCCAAGTCGTCACTTTAAGTGCATGACTCCCCCTCCTAATCTCTCAAATGAAAGTCCACTGACGCCCATGTATTGACGTACCAATTATATCAGCTGCCGCCTCCAATGCATAACTGTCTCCACAATAATCTAACCAATTCGGTTTATCCTGGTTGTCCCTGCATTTTCAACCCCAGATGAGGTTTCAAGAGAGTTAAATTTGTCAGAGATGACGATGGCGATGACAGTGATGATGCTGATTGCATTCCTATTCACCATACAATATCCACTCGACAATCTTTGTTACAGCATACTTTCTCCTTTGGGTTGTTCTGTGGCGCACCTTTTCTCAATGCCTTTGGGTAATACAATGGTTGCACACAGCCTTCTCACGGTTCTGTTGATTATGGCTGCAAATGCTTATGATAATCGTCTTAACGAGATCAGATCTGTTGATGACTACTTAAATATATGCATGAACGGCACGCATCACAAGAAAGCACCAAGTCCAGAACCGACGGATGATCATATTGTAGGTTTTCCATTTTATTCATTTTTCTACGCCCAATAGTGCACTGATTGGGCATCGATGTCATGCTGCGAGCACAAAACAATGCGAAGTGTTCAGGAATCGCTTCTGTACAATTTCAATCACTCTCACTGCAAACCCATGAGCCCAAAATGCATGGACATGTTCAAAAGAGAGTTATGCTTCTACGAGTGTTCACCGCATGTCGGCCCTTGGCTTGTCAAAACCCGAAGCCGGAGGCGAATGGAAAGAAGTTATCATGTCCCTCTGTGTGAGGAAGATTGCAACATGTGGTATGAGGCTTGCAAGATTGAGGAGACTTGCGTCAGGGATTGGTCCGTTGAATTTGAATGGTCTGAAGGTAAGTGCTTCATTTGTTTGCTGTCTATTGCCCAGTTTATCAGAAAGTTGTTTCACTAAACTAATTGGTTTGAACCCCCTCACCTTTGTCCTACCCCAAGGTTTACTGATCAGTACTTCTGAACAAGTCACTGGGATTTGTGGTATAATCTGAGAAACCCATATCTTCCGTTTAGTCTTCCTCCATCACATTACTTTGCCGGCAGGTTTCTATGCCTTGCACTCCCTGCATTAAGGCTTAAAACTGTATGCAATATTTGGTCAAAGGCAGGTAACTCTGCTCGTTTGCTCCCAATAATGAGTCAAAAAGTTACAACTCAGCGCACTTTACAAAATGACGTCATTTTTACTGGATGAAGTCGCTAGTATTCGCACAGACGTTTCGTGGTCTCACTGTCTACCTCTGAGAGGCTGAGGTGCATACTAGACGGTAGCTCACGGTGAATAGACAATTTTTGATTTCACCAGTCAACTGACCCTGCGGTTTGCGTGCAACTAGAAATAAGGTGCGAAGCGCCAACATTCCGCGTGCTTTCGTCAGTTGCGGACACATTTATGAGACGGATGTGTGGCAGTGTAGGTTAGCTTTTTTCCTGGCACACACTAGGCTAGTTGTCTAGTGTTGACCACTACATCTTCTCGGGTTAGAATTGCCTGACAAAGCTAAGAACGATTTGTATGGACCATATGGATGACCAGTTCCAGTTAGGTATCGACCACTTGACAACTGCGGGCATTGGTAATCGGTTACAGTTTGTGACTGTCTGGCTTGTTCATAACAATTTTTCTGGAAGCTACTGCGCTACTATTTGCGAGGGACTTCAGATGTAATCGCAACCGTAATTGAACTGATAAATAACATACTAGGCAGATGGGTTGAACGAATTCGGACAACAAACCTTCAATATGTGTCATTGAGGCGGAAGTCATTAAAACATTCGGGCTGATGTGAAACGTCATCTGTGGTGCCGACTTAGTTTGATTCCATGGCGATTGTGATTTGCTGTGATCAGCTTTGGATGGAAAACACGTGGATGAATCCTCTTGGGTATGAATATGTTCCTATCAAATCCCACCACATCCGACCAATGAGTGATCCCCAAAAAGGATATTCCCATTTATTGCAGCCCGCCTCTTTCTTTCGCTTTTGCGCCCAGCAGGTATATTCTAGCGAGCTGTTTTAGTGATTAGGTCCCTCTGAGCTTGTACCGTACGGTTAAATGGATATTTACATTCACGACTACGTTCATATGGGGCTTTTGAGCTATTTTTATTGTCACGGAATTAAGTGCTAATCTTTTTCAACTTGATTTCCAGCTAGTAACAAAACACTTTCATGGCCTGAACACAGTGCATTTTACTTTTGCTTGATATTTACGATGGTTATTATTGGTTCGGTTGGAGAACAGTTGGCCTAGGCCTTCGAAGATCTTCCTCCAGTGTTGTAGTGAAAACCTGTTTGGTGAGGTTTGCTATGGTAAAACATTTGCCAACCGCTGACAGTATCC